GCCTGGCCCACGTTACAACTCTCGGTAGCGTCGGATCCGCCAGAGAAAAGAAAGACGGCTCACTTCACATTCGTCACATACAACCTTGACCTTTTTTTTGACAAATTTTCATCATTTTCGAAAATGCACAGAATTTTTACGTACATTCTTAGATTTATATACAATTGCAATCCCACTCATAAGCTTAAATTAAAGAACGATATTGCTGTAGAGGAATTAAACGCGTCTTTAGTTTTGCTATTAAAAATAACGCAAGCTAAAGTTTTCGCCGAGGAGATAAAATGCTTAGAACACAATAAACCATTACCTAACGCTAGCAAAATTTTATCATTAAATGTGTTTTTAGACCAAAAGGGTTTGTTACGCGTTGGAGGGCGAATTAAACAGACTAATGTTAACTTCGACAAAAAACATCAAATACTATTGCCCTCACATCATTCGGTGACAAAATTAATAATAGAATGCGAGCATAAACGGAATCTACACTCCGACCAACAAGCCACATTGGCTGCGGTTAGAGAAAAATATTGGCCTATTAATGGTAAAAGAGCCGTGAGGGAAATATTACGTAAATGCATCATATGTTATAAAAACAAGCCGTCTTCGTCAAATCCATTGATGGGGAATATACCCGAAAAAAGACTATTGCCAGCTAGACCCTTTTCTACAGTGGGAATAGATTACGCCGGTCCCATTCTGATTAAAGACGGATCTTTAAGGTCACGTAAACTAGTGAAAGCCTATATTTGTATCTTTGTGTGTTTTGTTACGAAGGCCGTCCATATAGAATTGGCAGGTGATTTATCTACGAAAACATTTTTGAATTGCTTGAAACGTTTTACTGCCAGGCGAGGTTTAAGCACTACTATATATAGTGACAATGGCTCTAATTTTGTTGGAGCAAACAATGAACTAAAATCTATAATAAAATTCTTAAACAATTCCATACAGTCCACTGAAATTAGAAATTTTCTTTTGCAAAATTCAATAAAATGGAGTTTTACTCCTCCCTTCTCCCCTCATCACGGCGGTTTATGGGAGGCGGCAGTACGTTCTGCTAAATATCATTTAGTTCGTGTTATAGGAAACGCTCACCTTACTTTTGAGCATATTTATACCATATTGTGTCAGATAGAGGCGGTACTTAATTCAAGGCCCTTAATCCCTTTATCTAACGACCCTGAAGACCTTACTGTATTAACCCCTTCCCACTTCCTTATGGGTGATGCATTAATGGCTATACCTGAAACTGACGTACTCGAGATCCCAGTAAATCGATTGAAACTCTACGAACGCTTAAAACAAATAGTTCAGCATTTCTGGAAACGCTGGTCTGTAGAATATCTAACATCAGTGCAGCAACGAGGAAAGTGGAAAAGATCCTGCCCTGGACTAAAGGTGGGTGATATGGTACTGCTAAGGGATGAGAATCTACCTCCACTCCAGTGGCGTCTCGGCCGGGTAATGGTGCTCCATCCAGGCAAGGACGATGTTGTTCGTGTTGTCAGCGTAAAGGTGCGCGGGGGAGTGATTAAACGGAGTGTGGTGAAAGTGTGTAAGTTGCCCTTGAGTGACTAGAATTCTCCCATTATTTTTACTCATGTATCATGTATCTGTTTTTTATGATCAATTCAGGTTTATTTTTTTTGTAAGCTGAGAGCTTCCAAGGGGGGGAGAATGTTCAAGTTTAAAATGTTATAATCTTAAGTTGGTACCCAAGTTGGTAGCCCTGTAACCTCATGCGCATGTGCGCCTAAGTTTAAATTGTAACGACAGTGTCTGCTCAGATATGCAAGAGAGCGCACGTGTAAAACAGTCCTTCGAATTAAAGTTATTTAATCTAAAATCAAGTTGTTTAATTACGCGGACGCAAGTCCCAACAATGCCATCATGCAATCTCAAATTTTTTGAAAATTTTATTAAACTTACGTTTTTCTATGCATTCATTAAATTGTTCTCAAATATTTTTCATTGCAACTGTTCTCTTAAACATTGAGAACTACAAACCTCAAAAAATATCCTCCTTTTTTATACAGATACTACAAATAAGCATAAAAGGGTCAGAACTGGACGAGCCCACAATTAAATGACACAGGGTGTTTATTAAGTACTTGTACAAACTTTAAAGAGTCAATCTTTGACTAATTTTAAGATAAAAAGTTCATATGAACATGAACATTGGCCCGCTTGGTTCTTGATAGTGTCAAAAAAAAATTTTTGTTTCAGCAGTTACACGACGAAGACGAGGAATTCGAGATAGTGGCTGAGCGCGCGGCCCGACGCGTCGACAGAGAGCCAGACAATGACATAATCCCCCCCGCAACACCTGACGAACTAAGACTGACAATACGCAGACTTAAAAACAGAAAAGCCCCCGGACCCGACAATATACATAACACGACACTTAAACGACTACCACACAAGGGCCTCATGGCCCTACTAAACATAACAAACGCGACACTCAGACTAAGACACTTCCCTACCCGCTGGAAAACAGCAAACATAATCCTTATCCCAAAACCCAACAAAGATCACACCATCCCATCCAACTACCGGCCCATTAGCCTGCTCCCGGCTATGAGCAAAGTGGTAGAAAAAATTATCCTAACCCGTCTAAGAACCCACTCCCAAGAACTGCAAGTCATTCCAGACGAGCAGTTCGCCTTCCGACCCAATCACTCCACTGAACTCCAAATCCTTCGCCTTACCGAGCACATCACGGCGGCCTTCAACAGGGGACAGTACACTGGTGCTGTCTTCCTGGACGTCGCAAAGGCCTTCGATACGGTTTGGCATGAAGGCCTACTGATGAAAATGCTCACCAACCAATATCCCATATCCTTTACCAAACTCATAAAATCCTACCTACACCACCGAAAATTCCGCATCCAAATCCAAGATTCCCTTTCCACCACCCGTCCCATGGAGGCCGGTGTCCCCCAGGGCACCGTCCTGTCCCCACACCTATACACCATTTACAACTCCGACATCCCACATCCCCCCAACACCAACATATACTTATACGCCGACGACCTGACAATCACATCCCAATCCGTAGATCCTAGATATTCCGTCTCCCTCCTCCAAAACTCCTTAGACCAACTTGAAACCTGGTGCAACAGGTGGAAAGTCAAAATTAATCCCAACAAAAGTTCGGCTATCCTTTTTACCAAACGAAAAATCCCACAAAACCTCGACAGACTGACACTATCCCAGGAACCTATCTCCTGGAATCGACAAACACGATACCTGGGCGTGACGATGGACCAGCGTCTCACGTGGAAACCGCACATCGTGGAGACGGTGGCGCGAGCGAAGACCACCAGGGCTAGGCTCTATCCCTTACTCAAAGGTGGAAACACCCTCAGTTTAAGGAATAAGCGAACGCTTATCAAGGTGGTACTTCAACCGCAGCTAACCTACGCCTCCACGGCGTGGGGTCACGCGGCAAAAAGCCACTTAAAGTCATTACAGGCTGTGGAAAACATAGCCCTCCGCACGGCCACCGACGCGCCCTGGTACGTAAGAAACACTGACATATTACGAGACTTACAATACACAAACGCTACACAGACAATAAGACAAAACGCGGAGAAACGATTTGACGTAGCCGCTAGACATGACAATCCCCTCCTCAGGCAAGCCGTTGACTACGTACCCGACGTGACCGACAAACACAAAAGACCTAGACACCAACTTTTTGACCCTGGGTGACCACCCCAATGACCCCCCCCCTGCCCGCTAACCTTTTCTGTTTCAGAGACAGCCAGGATCAAGAAACGAAGACAACGACACACACACACACACACACACACACCCCCCATACCCTCCTTAACCCTCCCCTCCCGCGCTAGCCTAAGGGCCACCTTAGCAAAGCGCATCCCAGGCTGCATAGCCGCACTACCCTACCCAACCATACCACACATAAACATGACACTACCCCCGGGGTTTACACAGACGAGCCGGCGAAGCAAGAAGAGCGCCAGAAGAAAGGGCCCTAGCCGGCGGGGCCCAGCCAGGACAAAAGGAGGTCCCACAAAGCGCCTACACCGGCCGCATTTGCGGTCGGGGTAGACGACGGATGGGGCCCACCTACGAAGGCTGTCCAGGCCTACACGAGATGAGGCAGGATAAAGAGGGATAATCCCCCTCGATCCCAAATCATTGAGGCCAATTTCTAGCCATAGAATAATGGCGCGCGCAGCAGTTATTGGATATGTTATTAACTTATTTGTAGAAGTATAACCGGAAGTGCTGGAGAGTTCTAGATATTTTAGTTGTGTTCGCCCCAGGGGCATTGCTAGTTATCTCTCTTATCTATGGGCATTGCCATGTTGCCAAATTTCCAAATTTTTCGGAGCAGTACTTTCCTAGATATCGATCAACACAGTCCCCGGTAGGACATCCTGTATATATAGGTATATTTCTATGACCCTTACATATCTCTTGGTAAAAGACCGGCCCAACAAAATTAAAAATGATCATTTAAATTAGAACTGAACATTTAGAGCGACCAAATTAATGAACATTTTATTTGTTTATTTATGATTCCCCAGATTGCTTACTACATTTAGAAAGAACAAAAATGTTCAAACTTATTAATTAATATTAATTTTACAATAAGTCATGAAGACTTTTTCATGAAATTTGAAACAAATCCCATTGACAGGGAGCTCAGTCAACTGTAGTAAATAATTCATAACGCATAAACTGCTTTGTGGTTATTGTTTAAATCAAAATATTGCTAACTTCTGTTAAATTTAACAGCGAAAACAAAGTAATAAGTAAACTTTGATAACTGAAAATAAATTCAAATGTCATGTGATGCAATAGAGTTTTTTAAGCGTTATCTTAGGTATAAGTATTATTTTAACAAAAGGCAATTTTAGAAACATATAGAATACATACGTATATGATAGTACTTATTTGATTTGAATTTTTTCTTCAAAATATAAAATTTAGAAGCTAAATCTTACCACAGTTTCAATGTTTATTAATAGATTGAAAGAGCCTTGCAATGGATGTGCTCCACCATACAGCTTTATAAATCATTTGAACTTGTCAAGTGACTACAGCAAATTTAAAATGGAAGTTACTAATGCCAAAGTATCTGGAAATTTAGATTCACCTGAAGGAGGCTTAGATGCTATAATGCAAGCAATAGTTTGCAAGGAACAAATTGGTTGGCGGTCACAGGCTCGTCATTTATTGGTATTTTCTACAGGTATGCAAGTTATTGTATCATAAGGCAACCTATGATTGGAATATTGGTCCATTATAATTATATAACACAGCCCCACAAAATAAAAAAAGTATCGGATCTGGTATTCAGACCCATGTATTTTTTCCGCCGAATCCGAATCTGCCTTCAGATTTGGCCCAACGGGTCTGAGTTTTCGGGAAAATTTTAAAAACTGGTCAAAATTCACAAAAAACGTAATTTACGATCGACGAAAGTTTTAAAAAATCAAATTATTCTACCAGCTCACTAGACGTATGATTTTTCACTCTTTTAATTCCAATTTATCATCACAGAGTCAGACAAGCTGGTCCAATTTCATTCAAAAACAGAAAATAGATTAAAAACGCCATTTTCATGGCATAATTCGCGTTGCAGAGTTCTGGATCCATCTTTTTATCCACCCACCCATTTATGAATTCATACATCTTTCTATCATCCACCTGTACCACCTATAAAACCCACCCATCCACCCATCTATCCATCTACTTTTTGTACTGAGAGATGAGATAACAGCCTAGAAGATTGAGACTGCAATAAAACTTGTAGAATACTCTACTTTCTAAACAAAAGAATCAAAGGATCTATGCAACGAGTTACGCTTTCGTTTAGTCCCTCTATTTTTCGTTTCTCTTTTTAACAACTAACAAAAATCGGCCATCATGTTTTCATCCCATCTTCCTTGATATCGCTGTTCTATAACCTTCATATTCTGATGAAATCGTTCACCTTGATGTTCTTCGCTATAATCTCCAAGATTTTCAGGAAACCAATCCAGATGTGAATGAAGGAAGTTAGTAGTTCATCAAACATTCCAGATCTTGGAAGTCTTTTATCATTTTTGATACTTACAATTTCTTCGTATTTAGGACTCTTGTTATTTCGTAAAAAAATGTTCGCCCTATATATATAGAGCGAAAATTTCCGAATACTTCTGAGGCGAAATTGAAAGAAGGTGTATTCGATGGACCTCAGATTCGGACATTGTTCAAGGATGCAACATTCATCACTACAATATGGGTAGCGTTGAGGAGAGTGCTTGGACTAGTTTCAAAGCTGTAGCGACAAAAAGAAGAGTCCTAAATACGAAGAAATTGTATCAAAAATGATAAAAGACTTCCAAGATCTGGGATGTTTGATGAACTACAAGTTGCACTTCATTCACATCTGGATTGGTTTCCTGAAAATCTTGGATCTTGGCGAAGAACAAGGCGAACAGTTTCATCAGGATATGAGGGTTATAGAACAGCGATATCAAGGAACATTGGATGAAAACATTATGGCCGATTTTTATTGGTTGTTAAATATATAGACGAAAAATAGAGGGACTAAACAAAAGCGCAAACCATTGCATATATCCTTTGAAGAAAAGAGAACACGTTATAGCAACAAAAATAAGAATGATTTGTAGATATTGTTTTCTTTTGTTTAGAAAGTAGAGTATTCTACAAGTTTTATTGCACTCTCAATCTTCTAGGCTGTTATCTCATCTCTCAGTACAAAAAGTAGATGGTGGGTTTTATAGGTGGTACAGGTGGATGAATATGCATATTCATGCATGAACGACTGGATAGAAAGATGTATAAATTCATAAATGGGTGGGTGGATAAAAAGATGGATCCAGAACTCTGCAACACGAATTATGCCATGAAAATGGCGTTTTAAGCATTTTGATCTATTTTGAATGAAATTGGACCAGCTTGTCTGACTATGATGATAAATTGGAATTAAAAGAGTGAAAAATCATACGTCTAGTGAGCTGGTAGAATAATTTGATTTTTTATAACTTTCGTCGATCGTAAATTACGTTTTTTGTGAATTTTGACCTGTTTTTTGAATTTTCCCGAAAACTCAGACCCGTTGGGCCAAATCTGAAGGCAGATTCGGATTCAGCGGAAAAAAATACATGGAAATACATGGGTCTGAATACCAGATCCGATACTTTTTTTATTTTGTGGGACTGTGTAATTAATAAGAAAAAATCTTTACTTTTTAAATTTGGCAATTAAATTCTTACGCTGGTAAAAGAATCAGTCAATTAAGAAACAAATATGTTTTATTACAGATGCGGAATTCCACATTGCTGGGGACGGCAAGTTAGCTGGCGTAATAGAACCAAACGATGCAAAATGCCATATGGTTCAGAATAGTTATGTCGAATATCTGAAATATGACTATCCTTCAGTATCCCAAATAAATCATGTAGCTAAAGAGAACAACATAAATATAATTTTTGCTATTGTAAAAAAAGATGGAATTAGAGATTCATATCAAATGTTATCTAAATCTATTGAAAATTCAAATTTTGGTGAATTGGACAATAATGATAACAATGTCATTGATCTCGTCATAAGAAATTACAATGTAAGTAGAAAAATGGTTTGAAATATCTAAATATTAATTCTTAATATTATTTTACAGAAAATTGTTCAGTCTGTAACACTGACATCCAATGCTACAGATGATGTAGATGTGAAATTTTCTTCAACTTGTCAAGATTCTAAACCAAATGGTTGCGGTAATGTTCATGTAGGTGAAATTGTCAATTTTACTGCTACAATTCAACCCCGAGAATGCCTAAAAGGCCAAAAGAAGATAATATCAATTAAACCAGAAGCATTACATGAAAGCCTTATAATTGAATTAGATATTTTATGTGACTGCCCATGTTCTTCACCTAGCGACAATTCTTATCAAGCAAATTCAACTGAATGTAGTGGCAGAGGAGACTTACAATGTGGAATTTGTAAATGTGCAGCTGGTAGATTTGGAAGAAACTGTCAGTGTGATAATTATGTATTTTCTTCAGGAAACTCTGCAAACTGTAAAATGAATGATCAAGCTGAAATATGTTCAGGTAAAATTATTTGCTAACATCATTTTGAAAATCGAGTTTTCCCAGATTATTAATTTTATTAAAAGCCAGTATAGCCAGTCTACTCTGGGCAAAAGGAATTGGGATTATTTATGTTAAAAATGACAGTTATGTTTAAATATTCCCCATTTTTTTGATGAATCAATAAACCACATTTAACTTGGTTAACATAATTTTTCTTGTTAGGACAGTATCGTCGATGATTACAGTCTCACAAAAAACAATTGTTTTTTGGGTCTGGAAGTCAGACTATATCTACATATGTTTTGGGGTCACTGAATCCGAATCCGTGATCAATTTAACCCCATCACGTCAGGTTTTACTAATAACCCCATATAAACCTCATAATAACCCAAGCTGTCAAGTCCTATTACACAAACGATCCTTTAAAGGGAGTTTTGCACCTACAATAACTCTATAATCCTATACATTCAACCTCAGACCTCTTAACCCCATAACCGTATATTCCCATAACCAATAACTCCAATAACCAAGTTACTTAGTAGTTTGACTTGATCTCTCATCACGGTATATCAGGGCTCTATAAATAGAATATATTTAACGCTATAATCACACAACCTCATAACCCCATAACTTTAATAACCACGTTACACAGTAGTTCAATTATTTGATGCAAGGAATATAGTCTATATCGTTATTAACTCCCAGTTTCATTATCTCCAGTAGATTCTCTGTCAGTTTAAAAAATATCATGCCAAATGATAGATTGAGGCCCGGTACTTTGAGTCTCGATTAGGCCTTAGTTAATTAGACTGTACGTATACTGACATATTTTTTTAAAGTATATTCATAGTCTTATTGCCTGATTAGTTAATCAAGTCCTGACCAAGACTCAAAGTACCTAGATTAATTAAAATTATTTAATGCAAAATTGAAATAGGAATTAGACAGAAACAACAGAATAATAGAATAAATTAATAGAAATAGCAATACATATAATTAGTCCAAGAGAATTAAGCTCAAAACTTTCGAGATATGGCTGTTGCTTGATGTAGATTAGATATTTGTAAAAATCGGTCGAAAATGATATATATAATGAAAATATAACGTTGCGCCAAGAAAAAAAGTTGTGCTATTTGCAGAAAAAATTAATAACTGCAAAAATACTCAAAAATGACGTGTTTTTTTTTAACATTTTTCAATATAACTTCTTAAATATACAGTTTACAGAAAAAACTATTACTGATGAAACTGTTTGTTATGAAATTTGCTACAAGATAGAATTGTTTTGATACCTGCTCATATCATATTTTTGTTGCTAAATATCCAAAACAACGTAAGAAAGTGATGAAAATCGAGGTAATTTGGAAGCGTCAAACTGACAGGCAAGAAATTGTCCAATTCTACTATAAATGTAGATGTAAGTACTTTAAACTATTACAAACCGAAATTCCAAAACCCGATCAAAATCGGTCTGATAGTTTTGGTATGAAACAATTTGTTACTAAATTTCAGCGCGAAATGTCGTTATTTTTTTACGTTAGTGCTGGGGTTAAAGTTAGGCATTTTAATTGGCGTCGATTTTTTGACATATACTTGGACCCCTTAACTATCATACAGAGTCGTTATAATATCAATTTTCTTTTTTTGAATAATTTTTGGAGCGATTTTAAAAGTTTGACTTTATAAACAAATACTTTCGTCAAGCGGTTTTGAGGATTAGAAAATATACCAAAGTACTAAAAAACAGTTCTCGGAAAGACGCTTAACTTGAAAAAAAGAACGTTCAAATCGGTCGTATAAGTTCCGAGATATCGAGTGTCAAAGTCAACAAGCGTTAGCTGCAAAACTATTCATAATGTAACAACAACAAAATATGAATTTGGTAGGTTTTTTAAGAACTTTTCGTATGTGCTTTTATAAATATTATCTCACGTGTGCTTTTTTTATGAAAATTCAGTGAATATCGCCAAGCCGACCATTTGAGCCGCAAAACCGGGGGGTGGGGATGAATGATAGAAATTGAAATGGCGCGTTCAAAAAGAGCGTGCCCTCTTCGGCGTTCAATATCTCGGCTTCTACGGCTCCGATTTTGATGATTTTTTTAAATCGATACAGCAAAATGAGAGGAATTCAATTATCAAGATTTCATTAAAATATTATAAAGCCCTTTTCTGTCTATTACGACTACCTACTTAAAATTTCTCACATTTCGTTGTATACGGTACTATATTCATGTAAATAATAATATCGATGGTAGGATATAGGTACATAATCCACTGTTAATAGGTATTAGTGTTAATAATTACGTAGTAATAATGTTTAAATAAAATCTTGAAATTTTTATTTAATATGTAATTTATTTATTGTATGCATAGAATATAGAAAAAGATATAGATACAAATAATTATTTATTTATGTTTATAAAATATGTTTATTGTATTTTCATAACCATCGTTATTATTAAAGTTTTTCATTTTTTTACATCATTGCTGTTTTCACTTATAATATTGAAAAAGTATCGCAAATCAGTGTTTAACTAATTGTAAGTAGGTACCACTGTCAGATTAACAGCAAATGATGACTTATGGTTGGTTAATTTGATTTTTTAAATTTGCTAGCAATTTCATAGCCATCCTCGCAAGAAATTGGATCATTATATTTATCACAAAAACCGTCAAAAACAGAAAAATTAAAAGATAGGTATATGGAGATGTAATATGGAATAAATTTTTACAATTGATTTTGATTAAATATACAGGGTGTCTAATTTAGAAAAACCAAGTTTTGGCGGTTCGGCAATATGAAATTGAAATAGGTCGAAAACCATTAGAAGGGTCGGCAACTGGCGGACCGCGGTCCAGATCCGGACCGCGAAAGGTAAAATACTGGACCGCCAAAAATTTTTTGAAAGTATAAATTACTCAAATAAATTATTTAAAAAATGTTTTTTACGTTTAACTGCCAATCTTATCATTTATTCTAGTATTTTACAATTGTGTGAGTGTGTGAGTTCTTAATGGTTAGTAAGCAGATTAAATTTGAGTCCAAATTAAAATAAAAAAAAATATGAATTTTTTTTTGGACCTCGTTAAAAATTTTCAAAAGTATCCGGACCCCACCCAAAATTACTTGCCGACCCCTGCATTAGACCATTAGGGATGGATATAGGGAAGCTTTATAAAATTTCCCTAAAATTACGCGTAGAATCCAAATATGCAAAAATATACAGGATATTCCATCGCTCTTTTTGAACGCGCGATTTCAATTTCTATTATCCCCTCCCCCCAGTTTTGTGGCTCAAATGGTCGGCTTGGCGATATTCACTGAATTTTCATAAAAAAAGCACACATGCGATAATATTTATAAAAGCACATACGAAAAGTTCTTAAAAAACCTACCAAATTCATATTTTGTTTGTTGTTGTTACATTGTGAATAGTTTTGCAGCCAACCCTTGTTGACTTTGACACTCGATATCTCGGAACTTATACGACCGATTTGAACGTTCTTTTTTTCAAATTAAGCGTCTTTCCGATAACTGTTTTTTAGTACGTTGGTATATTTTCTAACCCTCAAAACCGCTTCACGAAAGTATTTGTTTATAAAAAAGAAAATTGATATTATAACGATTCTATATGATAGCTAAAGGGTCCAAGTATGTGTAAAAAAATCGGCGCCAATTAAAATGCCTAACTTTAACCCCAGCACTAACGTAAAAAAATAACGACATTTCGCGCTGAAATTTAGTAACAAATTGTCTCATACCAAAACTATCAGACCGATTTTGATCGGGTTTTGGAATTTCGTTTTGTAATCGTTTAAAGTACTTACATCTACATTTATAGTAGAATTGGACAATGTCTTGCCTGTCAGTTTGGCGCTTCCAAATTACCTCGATTTTCATTACTTTTTTACGTTGTTTTGGCTATTTAGCAACAAAAATATGATATGCGCAGGTATTTCTATTTTGTAGCAAATTTCATAACAAACAATTTCATCAGTAATAGATTTTTCTGTAAACTGTATATTTAAGAAGTTATGTTGGAAAATGTTTGAAAAAACACGTCATTTTTAAGTATTTTTGCAGTTTTTAATTTTTTCTGCAAATAGCACAACTTTTTTTCTTCTTCAACCTAAAGGTTCCACAAACTCACTTTTTAAAATCACGTCATATCAAGTCTAGGTCAAGCCATCAAGTAGGTACTTTAAATTCGTTTTTTTTTTCAAATTTTAAAAGGTTGAAGGCAGAGCTGGGTAATTCCTGGTGAAAAAGTAATTAGCAATTACAATTCCCTTTTTTCCTGTAATTGTAATTGTATTTAAGAACTTTTTTTTATTAAAGTAATTTGAAATTGTAATTGCAGCAAAATTGTTATAGGAATTGTAATTTGTAATTATATTATTTGAAATATCCAAATACAAATTACTTCTATAAGTACAAATACTTTTTCCAATTACAATTACTTTTTCTAATAATTATAATTACTTTTAAGATCATGCGTATTGCGTAATTGCGTACAGACTTGCAGACTTCTATTATTTCATTTGACGAAAGCCTTGTGCCGCGTGAACAATAAAAAGTGATTTGGTGAATTAAACTCAGAATTAACAGAGTACATTTTATTTTATTATAATTATTATTAATTTAGAAAATATACGAAGTAAAAATATGTTGTCTATAGCATCAAGTTTTATAAAAATATATATTATGTATTTATATGTTACTGCTCTTATTTTGAGTTGAGAAAACTTCTGGTTCGGTTACTCAGCCTTTCAATCGTACTTGTTCGATTCGTAATTTTTTTAATAATAATTATTGCTTTCCAGTCTACCCAAAACTACTGTATTCTATATTTTGCAAATGTACTAACAACCAAAACAAAGAACATCGGGTTGAATTAATTACCTGACCAATAATATAAAATTATAGTATGAACTGAACTAGTTTAAATTATTAGATTAGGAATAAAAATATAAAAATTCTATATTAGAAAATGAATAAGAATAATCTTTTCATTTTAGTATCAATTCTAATAAATAATAAAACGCAATATTACACAACACTTTTAATTTAAATTTTTAACTTAACTTTTTCCTTTTTCTCTGTTTGGTCACTATAATTTACTTTATCATAAAAGTAATTAGAAAAGTAATTGCTAAATCCATTTTCCATGTATGTAACTGTAATTAAATTAATATAATAACTTTTTTAAAGAATATACTTTGTAATTGTAATTAGTTCCTTTTTTTAAAAAGTAATTTGTAATTGTAACTATTTTTAAATTACAAGTAATTACCCAGCTCTGGTTGGAGGTATGATATTCAATTATTGTTTTCCTTATGGGCATCAAATTGAATTTTAGCATTTTTAAATTCAGCACATTTTTCTGAATACAATGGTGCATCACATGATATGGTTCATTCCTTTATTTTTTTTATACCAAATTATTCATTTTTTTAAAATGACCTTTTCAGGAATTAAATTACTAAGGTTAAATTGACAAGACAAGATAGGTACTTATTTTCTGAAATTATTGAAAACGGGCATGTAACCAGTACTTTTTTCTTTTTAGGTCAAGGAGAATGTAAATGTGGCAAATGTGAATGTAATAGTCGGCCAAAGGCTCAAGAAAAAATATATGGAAAATTTTGTCAGTGCAACAACTATTCTTGTAAAAGAGAAGGAGGTATACTTTGTTCAGGAAAAGGTACCTGTGACTGTGGTGACTGTAAGTGCCATGCAGGATACACAGGTGATGCTTGTCAATGTCCTGATACCACCATTAGTTGTATAGCTCCCGGTAGTAATTTAGTGTGTTCTGGATATGGAAAATGCAACTGTGGTCAATGTGAATGTATGATGGATGGTGGTCATTCTGGGAAATACTGTGAAGAATGTACAACGTGCCCAGCACAAAGGTACATTTAAATATTTACTTACAAAATAATGATTAAGCTAATGTGCCTTGTAAAAAAAAAAAAAATGAATTTAATTGTCGATTATGTTTATATTTATGCACCCATGTGATAACGATTTCAGAAAATAACTTCTATTTGTAGATGTGAAGAGCTTAGACATTGTGTTGAATGTCAAGCATATGAGACTGGTGTCTTTGACAAAAATCAGTGTCGGCTGAATTGTACCGCATTTAAAACAGAAGTCGTTGATAAATTTAGTGATGATGATGATATAAAAAAATGCAGAGTTCCTGATAAAGCTGGATGTATTATAATTTTTGAATACACTTATGATGAGGATAAAGAACTTATTGTAAGAGCCCAAAAGGAAAAGCTATGTGCTGGTCCTCCCAATGTCTTAGGTAAGTAACAAAATCAACAGATTTTCTAAATACAAGCCTACTTGAGTAAGACCTGTATCTTGATTGTTTAGGCAAGATAGAAATTCTAATGTCATTTCTACCCAATAGCAATACTGATATAACTGTCAAATTTGTTCGTGAATGTTCATTTTTTAAGGTTTACCACTTACCCTGCACTAAGCTTAGGTATGTAGCAAGCAGTTATTGATGTCACATACTAAAACTTCTCCAAATAAGTGTTATGTTATGGTTATGTTCGCTAAAATTTAATCTTACTGAAACATATGCTGGTGGCTATTTCACGATTTGAGAGAGACTGTATTTGAGAGATTCTTCCTCTCGCTGTATTCACAAATCAGAAACTATTTTTATTCAAGTTTATTTTTTTGACACCAATAGGTGTTTAATTGCGTTATATGCAGAATTCTATTGTTGTTGGATGTTTAAAACAATTAAAATAAAATATAAACAGCAAATAATATACTTTTTCAAGATAAGTGGAAATTCTTTTACTTTTGAATGTATTGAAAAATATATTCAGATCCCTTGGCAACAATAGGAAACAGTCATCGTATGTTCCAGCAAGTTGAAATTGTAATGGTGGTATGATATGGTCACGTCATTAACTTTGGTTAAATAATTAATTTGAATAGACTATTAACTAACTGAGGTGGTATTGGTAAACTAATTAGAAAATGTGTTTTACTTCAAACATCTAACAAAAGTTCTAATGGTAATTATATAACATAACTGACTTTAAAATTAATTTTTAGCTTGGATTCTTGGAGTTATAGGGACAATTTTACTTGCTGGTTTAATTATGTTAATTATTTGGAAAGTTTGTACAACTATTCATGACAGACGTGAATATGCCAAATTTGAGAATGAGAGAAAAGGTCTTAAATGGCATAGAAATGATAATCCTCTCTATAAAGAAGCAACATCAACATTTGCCAATCCAGTCTATAATCGATCTTCCAGCAGGTTGCCTTCCAAATAAATATTACTCAAAATTTATTAAAATATAACATTTTTTCTTTTGTGAAATCAAAATAATATTTCTGTATAAGATTTACACGGTCTGATAATAAGGTTTAGTAAAATTGTTACATCTGTTATTGGGAATATCATTTTCATCACCTTCAAAGTGGTGATAGTGGAATGGTCTTCAGGATTGCTATTGTCTATTTCATGATGTTGTAAATGACAGTTATTTGTTTATTATCAGCTTCATAGTTGTTATGTACGTTTCTAATTTTTTCATGCAAATTTTCCATGTGAGAGTATTGAAAAAGCTGTAGATTCATTGGATTTTTTCAACAACGCAGCTGCTTCCACCTCAGTGTCAGAGAGAATTCTTAACAGTAAATAAATAACTATGTTGAAAAATGCTTCCTATTTACTAGATTCCAATGACATTTCTATGTTGCCATGGATAAGCAGATATTAAATCAGAAGCAATGCCACGGTAGTTCTGGAGACCATTCCTTAAATGGGTACATAGTTGCACATGAGAAATACCTTGAAGATGATTAAAATTACATTGATTAATATTTCATGTTATCTGTTCGCAAATTTTTTCTTGGAGCTTGTACATTATTTATTCTTTTATGAAAATATAGAAAAACAATAAAAATTTTAATTAATAAAGTTTTTTTATTTTTGAATGTTAAAACATTTATGAATACATGACTTGTATTATATTAGTAGACAGGGATTCACAGATAGTAATTTTCCATAAACCACAATTTTTTTTTTACAAATCGGCTACATTGTTATAGAACAGCAGATTAAAATGCACACCACCCCAGTTAGAAAATAATGTAATTAACAAATTACGTTGCAAAAAATGGTATTTTATTTGTGTTTCTTCAATATCTCTGTTAGATTCTTCTGTGAAGAAAATGCAAGAAATTATTTTTGTTCTAAATAACAATTTTTTTTATTGCAAAAAATAATTTTTTTGTTATATATGATATATGTAAATACTTTTGAGTAACCTGGTATATATGTTGTACTATTTCTGTCAGCGAGCCATTGCTTTTTGCTCTTCTTTTTGTTTGTAAAGAGTTGATAAAAATCTCAATGTACGGCTTTAGACAGACATTCCTTTGTATAAAATTAGCAAATAAACATTTAAAAATAANCCATTGCTTTTTGCTCTTCTTTTTGTTTGTAAAGAGCTGATAAAAATCTCGATGTACGGCTTTAGACAGACATTCCTTTGTATAAAATTAGCAAATAAACATTTAAAAATAAATGCGTTATAATTTATTACATTTTCAATTAACAAAAAATTGCAAAATGTTTTTCTTAAAATTGTTAATTTTCTAAAAACTAAACTTCATCAAACGTTTGGAAAATACTCCACTTTTGCAATTTTTTGTTAATTGCAAAATTATTTATACAATAAAAAAATTGGAGTGATGTATCTCGTACAAAATTTCATTTAGAACAAAAATTACCTTTTGCATTATTTTGTAGTGCGATCCAATAGAGACATTGAAGAAAAACGAATAAAAAAGCATTGTTAACCCTCAAAGGTCACACTAGTGCGAATTCGCTTCACCGTTTTTTTGAAAAACTGGCATTTCTCAGGTAGCAGCTGCCAAAGGTTCCCTCCACCATAATAATTCCTTCTTTAGCCCAAATAGTCGAGCTGTCCCACAGTTGGCCTCAGTCTATTATTGTGTATTATTGGATGTGTGGCTGAATTTATATCATATAATCTAGAAATAAAGTAAATTTATATGCAAATTTCCGATTTTTTTCACTTCATTTTACATGTCGAATAGATTAGATTATAACATTGTTTATTTAGTTAGTTGATAATTTTTTAATTTTTTTTTTTTTTTTTTTCATTAATAGTTTAATTGTAACATGTATTTATCAATATGGGGTATTTTTGTGTCTGCTACCTTTGGATATTTATCTAAGAGAAATGGCTTTGACAAGTATGTTTCGCCTCAAGAACGTTGGTTTCAAACCGGATGTAGGATGCGGAGAAATTAGGAGTCGTCTATGGAATGGGGTCATCAGGAAGATGCCCCTTCTGCAGGCAGACACTGACAGTATTTCTCCCCGGAGGGTGCAGGATGTAGAATATACTCTAGATCCTTGCATATCCGATATCAGCGGGCAGTGGACAGGCATTCTACCGTTGTACAAACAGAATTAGCAGGCATAACCATAGCCACTAAAGAAATCGTATGCTACTGGTAAAACCATCATAATCTACACAAATAGTAGATAAGCACTACTGACTTTGCGTAATCATAAGATAATGACTAGGGAATGCCACCAAGCACTGGTCGTGGCCTCGGCTTCCAACAGCATATCTGTATGTTGGGTAAAGGGACATGAGCGGTGCAATGACAATAAAGAAGCTGACAAACTAGTCAGGAGTGCATCGGGCCTCAATATTTTTGGACCCGGTCCCTACAGTGTGCTTCCGCTGTCAGCACTTGCTGAAATTATTAAGGAAAACACCCACAAAGAATTTATGAGACGGTAAAATGAAACAAATAGCTGTCATTTCGCTAAGGAGTTCTTAGAATATCCTAGCAAAGATACAGTCAAAAAATACCTGGCCATGTCTAGGTCAAATCTTCGCCTGGTGACAGGTATTCCAACTGGACACTGATGGCTAAGGAAACACCTTTACAATATGAGGTAGTGTGAAACACCTCTTTGTAGGGGCTGTGAATAGGAAGACGAGACAGTATTACATGTGCTATGTGAATGCACTGCCGTCTCGTCAACAAAAGAGTCCATGTTGGGAGAGCGCTGGCCCTCTATGGTCTATATTAGAGAGAGAGAGATCCCCCTGAGCAATGTCACCACCTTTTTCTCTGTAATAGATTTGTTAGCGGCTCAGGTGGATTGATCTCCTAAGGGAAGGAGGTACAAAGGGCCCAATGGGGCCTAAGTGCTGTAGCTTTAAAAGCTATCCTCCCCACAATTCCAGATTCCAGATACCAGGGGTATATTTTCTTAAATATAAATTTTGAACTTCAAAATCCTTTTTTTACTTTTTCTCTAGTCGTTATTTATAAAAAAAATACGAATTTAAAATAGTCATTTTTGAAATATGTTTTTTTTAATCGCATTTATTATTAACATTTTTTTTTAAACTAATTACATCATTCGATTTCTAGGAAAATTTTACACGTTTTGTTATAAATACGTTATATTTTTGTTAACAAATAAAGAAGACATAAAGGTTTAAAGTTGGCAAAATCCCAGTTCGCACTAGTGTGACCTTTAAGGTAACCCACCCTAAGTTTGGGTTAATAAGTTTTTTCCACATTATGTGGCAGTTTTGTGCATTTTAATGTTTTGTTCTATAACACATTTGTAGCCAATATGTAAAAAATTTTGAGGTTTATGGAAAATGACCACAATCACAATGGTTTGGGCCTCCGCTGAATGGACTAGCTGTGGATGAAATAGAATTGATTTGTCCACTTGATCGTTTCCTCACTCCTGGTATCTGCACCTAGCTTGCCGTAATATCCGCTTGCCTGTACCGTTCCATTAACTTTGTTGTGGTTTGTCTATAGGCAGGTTACCGCATAACACACCGTACCGTTGTTTTACTGTTTCTAGTAGTCATCACCTACTTATGACCATAGTAGTTCATCATCATCTGACCCTAGCTTTATAGTAGTACTAGTTTAGACCTTTAATAAATGTAAAGTGTGACATTCTTTTGTGAAAACTAGCTTTCTCTAGGCCTCTTACGTGTCTTTACTGTAGCTACACACATAGTGGTATTTCTGCACTGTAAACAAAAACTGGTGCTCGAGATCACCATCTCCACAAACACCGCCGCCGCTCAAATCATAGTGACCGACAAACTTCCCGTCGATGAATGTAGTGATAACGTCACACATTTAATCCGTGAACTGTGTACAGGATGTTGCGAATTGAAAAAGATACATTATTATCGGCAAGTTCGATATTCATATCTAGATGTCTCTGGATGTGTTTTGTTCATTTCTAATTGCAGCAGATGTCCCCAAACTTTTTTGTCTCGTAGACATGTAAATTTTCTTCTGTTTTGGGTAGACCCCCGCCTTTCTAATATTGAATTGTTACAAATTCATCAACTTCAAATGTGTTTTTAACAGCTGACACAGTGCAAGTTTCTACTAGTTACAAGTGTTCAATAGCCTTATTGCACAATTTTATGAAACATACTTAATATGTAATTGAGTGTAGTAAATAAAATAATTGTTTACTATGAAACAGTTTGATATATAAGAAAATAATAACTTAAGTTTCAACAACAAAAGGATAACAATTTATAAGTAAAACGAAAAACTTTGAATGAACTCAACCTGCTTAATGGGATCCATTCTCATGGAAACCCATTTACATTCATGCACCCCGAATTTTTGTTTTCGCTGACATGTACTCCTTTCAGTTCGGAGTCGACCCCTAGCGGTCAATATAGACCACTTTGGGAATCATTGATCTAAAGCATTTAGATGTTAATACAAAACTTCCCTTATATTAGAGACTGTCAGTCAGATAAATAGTTAAAATGGGGTAAAGTTGCATAATTTTATTAATAATAATTTCCCACGATCGTCATTACTTTGTGAGATTTCTTGAGAAATGCAAAAGTTTATAGCATACTTTGTAAAAAAAAAATTTCTTAATTCTATTTTATTATATTATTTTAATATGTAATTAAATTTTCAGCGTAACTTTTCATATGTTATTAACTGTCAATAAAATATTTTTAAAATACCTAAATAGTTGCTCATGAGTTCCCCATATTCTTTCAAGTTTAATTGTGAGTATAATTTTTCTTCAAGGATGTTTGTCACTACATTTTTTTTTTTTCATAAGTTGGTAAAAAATTAATAAAACAACAAAATTTTAACGAGATTACACTGAATGTCTTGTAAAAAAACTCTCATTTGATTTTTACCTCGATTTTGGTCAAAAAATTACCAAAAAATATGCAAAATACTCAGTAAGAGTAAGTACCCTGACCAATTTGTTAAATATACAATGAAAGTAAATCAACATAAAAATAAATGCCAATTAATGTAGAAACACATTACTATACTCGTATAGGGTATAGGACACAGGTAGGCCTTGAAAAATTATGATAGTAAGTGCCAGTTTGTAATATTTTTGGAGCCACTAACGCCAAACTTTTGTTTTTTAAAATTAAATAAAAAATGGTGGAGTTATAGCCTGCGGCATTTTTACAAGGCACCCAGTAATTTGCAATGTTACCAAAGATAAAAACTCAATATTTATTTAACAACTTTTATTCTAATGCGATATTATAGTCTTGTTAAGATTCGGTTATTGTTAATTTCTTAAATTTTTTGAATATACAGTTGCAAATAAAATGTAAATACCAACTTCCCTGAACAAAAACAAAATTTCTGATATATGTGGTCTCAGAATAAAATGAGTAATTCAATGGTACAAAGATATTAATAGAATTGTACACAAAAAAGGAATAAACACTTGGCGAAACACCTGATGATTGAAAAACATGATGTTGCATCAAGTGTTTTCCAATTTCATGTTGCCAGCAAAACAATAAAATATAACTTTTGGGGCAGTCTATGAAACATAAAATATGAAGTATAAGAATGTACATACTTTACGATATAGA